CATCTGAACGCGGGCGGAGCCGCGGGCAATGCTAGTACTTATTATAAAAATAAGTCCCCCGGCCGCGTCTTTTGTCCTCCTGTCTGTCCTCCTGTCTGTCTGTACGCGATAAACTCGAAAACTACTGAACGGATTTTTATACGGTTTTCAACAATAGAAAGAGTAATTCTTGAGGAAGGTTTAGGTATATAATTTATTATGCTTTTATGTAAATTAGCTGAAATACGGCGACAAATGTTGAAGAGGTCGCAAAAAATCTCGCCAAATGGGAACTTTCCACGCGAACGCCGCGTAAACTAGCAAAGATACAGTTAAGTAATGTACTAGAGAATTCAAAATCTATAAAAATGCTACAAAAAAGTCCGCGATAGCATATCTCTATCTCTTACGGTTGACTTACAATAACCACTTTTATGTTAACATTTTTAATTAAAAACATTACGTTATTTTCAAAGTTATTTTCTTTAGTTCGGTATTAATCCTTATCCAAATGAATATTTTAGTTAGCTTAGTCATTTAATGCAGATTAAAATTGCTCTTTACACTAAATCAATCAGATGAATAGTTTTTGAGATATCGTTGTTAGAAGTAATTAGTAGCGAAACATTTTTAATGCTTGGCGAGCATTGAGATGCCTACGGCGAGTCCATCCCCTCTGCCCCGCATCGCTCGACCGCCTGCTCAAGCTATATAAACCGGGCGATGTAGCGCGCGATCCTAGGATACTTTTTACCGCGGGAAAATATCTTATTTCTGAGGAAAAATACAAAAACTGCAATGTAAGAGTATACTAATATGTAACACCTAAGAATTTAGTTTTTGGTCATCTGAACGCGGGCGGAGCCGCGGGCAATGCTAGTATAAATTAAATTGAAGTGTCTGTTTGAAATGTCAAAATAACAGCTTTTTAAAATTTTATAATTTTAAATGCATATGGATGTATACACGATACATATACCAAAACAACATTTTTTACATTTTTTTTTGTCTGTTTGTTCCGGCTAATCTCTGAAATGGCTAAGCCGATTTTGACGGGACTTTCACTGGCAGATAGCTGATGTAATAAGAAGTAACTTAGGCAACTTTCATTTTAGAAAAAAAATAGGGTCCCCACGAATTTTTTTTTAAAACCAATAAAAAATTTTATAATATCCGTTTCAAATAGGGAAGTTGTAGACATACCAATATGAGTCGCTAGTAAATATATAAAACAAAGTTGGGTTTGTTACAACACTTATAACTCGGGAGCCATTAGACCGATTTTTTTGATCTTTTTTGTTGGATATGTCTATTAACCCGAATAGCAGAATAACTAAAAACTACTAATACTATTAAAACATTGGAAAAATTCACTTCAATTCAAAAATCTATTCCATACTAAGCGTCAAAATGTACTAAGGATTCCGATTTCAAGACATCGATATTATGTAAACACATATTTTATAATGTAGGTATTTTATAAATATATTATACCTAAGTAAAAAGGTAAAACTTATTAGTTGAGCAATATATTTTTTTATTTTTATTATAAATAACATATAAGTATCTAAACCTGGCTATAGCTAAGTTGGCGTTATATGAGATTTGTATGACACCACATCAAGTTATTATATACCTATGCGAAGATACTGCGTAATATCCACACATATTTGTATGTATAATAAATATCACCAAATTGAGATCGTTCTCTTTTTTTGGTGTTGTTTAAAAAATCCATCTAAATTAGTTCAAGATTTTTTAAGTAATGCATACAGACAGACAGGTCTCTCAAAGATTTTTTATCATATAAATACGTAATCTTACGAATTTTATCTTACTAATATTACATGAAAGTTTAGATATTTGTTACTCAATCACGCCAGAACGGCAGAACGGATCTAGATGAAATTTGGCATAGAGATAGATTATATAGCCTGGAATAGTATATATAATACTTTTATCCCGGAAAAAATGTACGTTTCCCGTGGGATAGATTTGTTTTTGTTTTTCTAGAGGCGAACCCGAACAAAGTGACGGGAGAGCCGCTATTACTATATAATATAATTTCTACCGTAAAAAGTAACTCTGTACCATATAAGTATTATAATCGTTCGATCATATTTCCAATCATTGACAGATTCTCTATTCTTGAAGACACTAAATGTGATAAAACCCCATTTTATTAGCTACCCCGGCACCTTTTGTGTTTTTTATCCCTTTGTCCAAACAGTTTTTGTGGATACGGTTTCTTGTTGCATTCGACTCGCTAGTCGCTCACATTCCAGCTGCTAATTTGGTAGCATTAGAACATACCCTGGATGCATTAGAAAGGGATCTTTTTTATATTTAACTAAGATGTTTAAATAATATGTTTTAAACAAATATGTGTTAAAGACATGAAACATGTATTAAAAATATTGTGTAATTCTCAAACTCTTTTATTTTAAATACAATATTTGCTTTTCTTTTAACTATTTTAACATCACACTTTGAAAATCTGAAAATAGTGGCTTAACCAGGACCGGCCTTAGCCATCTGGGCGCCTCGGGCGAGTCATGCCTTTGACGCCCTTTTAGGTAGGTATACTTATTTCATTACAATAAAAAAAACGTGTATGTAGAATTATTTAGTGAGAGATACGATAAAACGCTGAGTCTATTTTTCCTTTAGATCGATAAAAATAAGTATTCAAATTAAATGGTTAAGTTCAGCTTGGTTCAGCTGGGGCCTGGAGCCCCGGGCAGACCCCCCCCCCCCACCACACCTCCAAAAGCCGGCACTGGGCTTAACACCTTAACGAATAGGATATGTAATAGGATAGTCCTATAATCTTCATCAAAAGGTAAGTTTTACATCTTTGTTCACAAAATGTCATTGTCAGTTCTAATTCCATTGCAATTTCGAGCAATAACAACATAAAAATAAATAATGTATGTACTTTAGCGCCTTCCAATATATTCCAAGAACGTTTACCAATTAGCCGACAACAATTACTTTACGTAAATAGTCTTGTAGGTCGGTATCAGTACTTTGTCTTAATTAAACGGTTAATTAATTCAGTTTAACATCTGAACTGTTTAGAAATAGCTATATGGGAATGTAAATTTGTTTTGCAACTAAATAACTAACCTAGTTCATTTCAATGTGCAATTAATCTATCTCTATTAATTCTTATACTAACTGTAGTTTGTTACCTCCAGAGGTCTATAGAATGTATAATGTCTCTTAGAAAAGGTAGATAAAGGGAAAGGGAAGGGTAGTAAAAGAAGGGTGTTAAATAACATGGTATAATCCTGGCTACGTATGAGCATAGTTTAAATATTTCGCAATAATTTTGTTCATTAACATTATAATAGGCGTGATATCAGCATATTGTAGACGAATATAATATTACATTTAATATATTGTAGTTTTACCTGCAAGTAATATGCCCCCGGTAAAAAATAATAAAAATAAAAGCTAACATTTTTTTTTAATAATTTAGTAAAGTTTCGAGATTTTTTACAACTTTAAAACGAGCAAAAAGCTTAAAAGCTAATCGAAAATTATAATGACACACGGCCTAAATTTGTCAGGACAGTTTCGGTCATTAGTTATCTGTGAACTTTGGCTTATCTTTTTCAGAAGCAATTCGTCTATCTTATCGTATTCAGATTCCTATAATTCCTTGCTCGTTAGTTACGGACATTACTTATTGTTGAAATTAGTTAGATTTTGATTCATACATCATATAGTATACCAAAATTCATGATTTTTTTATATAGGTACTAGAAAAACAAAAACAAGACTATCCATCGTGAACCGTATATTTTTGCGGAATAAAAATTAGCCTATGTGTTATTCCAGACTATAATCTATATCTGTGCCAAATTTCATCCAGATCCGTTTAGCTGTTCTGGTGTGAAAGAGTAACAAACATCCATACTCACAAACTTTCACATTTATATTATTTATTATATATACAGATTATCAATCAGTCAATAATTCTATTATGAATATTATTTCCTAAATAAATTCCACAAATACGTCTAAAATATAAGGGCCAATCACTTTTTATCTAAACATAACACCGACTTAACTACTATAAATACTAAAGGAAAATGTAAATATAAGACCAACCCCGAGGGTACCGCCAGTTCATAGAAAAAAATATGAATAATTAAAATCTATTCAATATCACAGATATAACGTAACATTCAAGCACAAACAAAACTAACTACTATTATCTCCTTTTTTGGAAGTTAGTGAAAATTTGGAGATGAGTCATTGTTCTTTTCTCGTTGCAATAAACGACGAAATATAATTAATGAAATTATAGTTTATTCTCTATCACTTTAGAAACAGCTAAACAGGATTATTGCAATGTAAAATGACGTTATCAAGTACAGATGTCTCTCCTTATGAAGTCCTAGTGGGGGCGTAAGAACCTTTTTATAGAAGCCTGTATTAGTCACGAGTTCAACTGAGCTTTATTATGAAACAGTACTTTATTTTTAAAATACGCAAGATATTAAAGCAATCGTATTGAAAGAGAACTTACAACACAATGTAAAATCGTGTGAAGGACTTAACACTCGACCTTTGAAGCGCATCGAGCGACATTTCAACTACTGCTGTCAAAACGCTATTAAGAACATGGTTATTTCAGTTGCAGACAATGCGTGGTGGCCGCGACACGCAGTAACAATAATTAGTTCTATTAAAATAACCCACAGTACTTCTATATTCGCTGTACTGGCAATATCCATTAACTTGTGTGAAGGTTAAAAAGAAACATGTCATAATATTTAATACATTTTATATTAGGTACTTTATAACAATACTTTTAACAGTCTTAAAACGAACGACTTAGTGACAATCGGCGATCAACGCCAGTCTACGATATATACAATATGTACAATAGGTCAAGCTTGCCAATAAAGAAAATCGAAAGCGAAAGTCACTTGGTAAGCTCTAAAAGTTCATATTTTTGGCATTTTTGGAGTCAAAACGTGGTCAAAAAGGCGAAATTGGCAACACTAAGCAACAGTGAGCGATGTGAAACCCCTCGAAACGGGGTTTGGGGGTGCACTGAATCTTTGTAGTCCCGAGCACGGTCCCGCGCCACGAGCGACTGCTTCGAAAAACTGTCGCAAATCGCTAACCGACCTTGTTGGCGGCGCTTGAAGGTCGTGCAACGAGGCCGCCCTTCTCGGAGTGTCACTCACTATCACGGGCCGAGCTAACTGTTCGCTACTTCTCGCCAAACTTCCACCACTTTGCGAAAGAGATTCGAATAGAGCACGTCTCTCACGCACAGGAACGTATTGGGAAACCACTTCGTGTGAATTAGGTGAGCACGATCTTGCCCTGTTCTCTAACGATGCTGCCTTCCTCCTGGCTGCCACCATCGCAAACCGGCCGCGTTCTGTACCACCTGTCGTGCCCTCCCAGCGTTTTAGATATCTATGCCTCCCAATTTCTGTGTCACTTGTCCTCATACGTGGCAAAGTGTGATGTTGGGGGCTTTTGTTTAATTTGCTGCAGTTATCGCACTTTATGACCTCAGCTTTTCGTACTGGCGCGTCAACCACGTCTATGGTTTTCAGAGCGTCGAGTGAAAGAGACAGATCGAGGCTGCGATCGGACGATGAATCATAGTCGTCGTCTTCTACGACAATGCCCTCGTCCGTGGCGGCAGGTGAGTGGTCTCTTCGAGGTATCTGGGTCTCTGGAGCGGTTAGCAGTCTTCGTCGCGCTCTGGGAGGCGGTCTGGGAGGACATGCAGGTGTCTCTAGTAGAGGTACCTTCTTTGGTTCTTTACTTGACGTGTCCGCTGCCGGCAATACGTCCAAAAATCTAACTTGCGGCAATGGTGTCTGTCCAAGTATTTCAACGCATAGCGCTCGAACCCACCGGGCGTATTCCGTGGCATTGCAGGCCTGCAACAAAGAAATACTTAGTTATAATCGGCAAGAAATTCAGGTACAGATTTATGACTCAATCATTGATATGATCTGAATAGAACCAAAATTGTTATTTAAATGCGCATAATAATGGCATAGTTTGAATATTTAAAGGGTAGCGACTTCGAACTGATCTCAAAAACAGAACTAGTTGGGACTATTATGTTTTGTAGAGAAACAAGGATTTCCTTTCGTCATAACGTGTTTCTTTACGTGTCAACACCTTCGCTTTCTAGCCCTTCTCATGTTAAATAGTGGCATCAAAAGATCGTTCAGTACAAAGAAGCAATGATTTACGGGTGTTTCGCTTTATTGAGGTCTATTAAATCGAGCGAGTCGTGAGAAAGGTGAGTTTTGAAGGGGACCCGAACGTCTTGCAAGACGTCGGTCGCTATTCTATTGTGGACTAGTACAACTATAATTTTAGATGAAATAAATTATAGTGGATTACATATTAAATAATAATCGAAATAATTTCTTTAAAATGTGTGTATCATATAAAAGAAATATATAAGTTAACACTATTTTCTTAAATATTATACCTACGGTTAGCTACTACGTCATATTCCTTTACCTACTCGTACGATCACGTTGTGTCGATCTTTATTTACCGACTACCAATGTTTGCTAATAAAATGCAATTATTCAATCCATCGCGTGCATATCGAATTATTTTACATGTATATACCTACTATTGTAAGCTAACAATACTTTCATAAATTATATACAAGATAACTAACGTGACTCTTTCAATGTTACAGACGTCTTAAACGTCTGTATTACTATAGATATTTGTTATATTTAAATTCTAACGAACTAACGTTTTCGTAATATCAAAAATTTAGCAAACGTGATAAGGTCACACTTGAGGACGTATCTATAAATATTAAAAGAATATATGTACGTACATATATCAAAACTCCATCACAAATAAATAAGTATATGTGTAGAAAATATATCCTCTTATATAATAGGACTATACGCTGAAACTGCTGAACAAAATTAGATAAAATTTAATACACAGACTATGTATGTAGACCACTGGAGTACCAAATAGGTTCCTGTTAGGCACTTATGGATACACTCGAGAGAAGCGAATGAGTAGTAAGCGAAGAAGTAGCTAGTACTTTTATAATAATGTATGAATTTATATCCGAGTCAGAAAACTTACAAGATATTTTCTGACGACACGTTTGGCTCAGTTTGTAGTGACCCTAGTTTCTGTGCCAGCGGTCGCGGGTTCGAGTCCCGCTGGGGGGTATTCATTTGTGTAATGAACACGAATGTTTGTACTCCAGTCATGGTTGTTTATATTTATAATATGTATGTATTTAAAGTTATGTATGTGTAGTGTATCAACTATCTGGTATCCATAACACAAGCCTCGTAGCTTACCATGGAACTAGATGGTACTGTGTGTTAATGTACCAACATATTTATTTATTTATTATTGTTTCATAAATTAAAAAAAATCATTAACATATTTTGTTGATGAACACATACAGCCATTAGCAAAACAAATGTTAAACGTTTACATATAGATCCACTTTGTCATTGCTTCCATAATGGCATTATATGCAGTTCACAACATTTCAATAATTCCAAGGCTTCACATCTATTACACGGTACGAGCTATACTTTAAAGGCTGTTTTATACCATGAACACTATTAACTTTATTTATTATCGATTAATGTTCTCCTAGCCAATTCCGGCCACGGCGGCCAATCTCATTGAGAGTAGCCAACTGCGCAGGAGATATTATAGTGCACAAGTGTACGGGCAGACACAAGTGTACTCTCTATTCCTGTCACTCTCATACTCCGGTTTGACGACTGCTCGACACGACCAGTGAGAGTTAAGGCGCAGGACTGACGGCTTTACGTGCTCTCCGATGCACGGGGGTGACACACCGCCAACTTCCCAACTCTGGGCTGTTACTGAGACTCACTATACAGAAAGACTCAATAACTAAACTTGGCCCGACCCGGGACTCGAACCCAAGTCCTCCGAGTGTGCAGCCGTACATGCTAGCCACTACACCACCGAGGCAGTTAATTCATTATATCAATATATTACCGTTTAATAGGTATATCGATTAGTGGTTGTTGAATCAAAGAAATATGCGTTAATTTGCGCATTATAGATATAAAAAATATTTACTACATACATACGAGTATACCTACTTGTATATATTTATTATGAATGAACTTTGCAAGCATTTATATTGTCATTGACTTGGCGAGTTTTTAGGTAATTGATCTATGGTAGCATATCGCTCTCCATATTGTCTCCATAGTTTATCGGCATGGAAGTAAAAAAATTTTTTTTTGAGATATGAGGACTAAAATAAATAAATTGGGTTCTGCCACTCTTTACCGACACTGATTATAACATACAACAAATAAAATGCATATAAATATACACGTTTACGAATATATTTTAAACTCTAATGTACACTAATAAAATATAAAAAAATACTCTTAAAAAGATATAATTATTTGTAACGATATCAAATATACGCATTTAAGTAAACAATTATACCTCAAGCGCTGACATGCAATAGACCACGTTGACTCAATAAGCATAAAGGTGTAGCGCATAACTTAATAATTATTATTCATTATAAGATAAACTGAGAATGACTGTACACACGTGCAGTGTACAGTATTTATGGTATCGAATTAATAATTGCAACAGTAGTCTTCAAGGACGTGGTCGAGGCATTGATGCATTCTTATACCATAGCAAATATAAGCACAACATGGTCATGTAACATGCTTATTTGAACGGAACACTTAAAATTATACATATATAAGTAATACGGATATATCCGTAAATTTATACCCGTCTTCCACCAACGAATTGGCTCTACCCAACTTTAAACTCAACAATAATTCCTTTCATAGCTATAAACTTTATTTTGTAACATACATACGTCATACATACATATAAATGACATTGTATTTAACTTTATATATAACATTAATTTTCTCTTCCGAAAGATTGCTGGAAGAGTTCCCTCTGAGGTATGACCATTTCGCCCACATCTATACTAATATTATAAAGAGGTAAAGTTTGTGAATTGTGAGTTTGTGACGTTGTAGGGGGTAATCTCTGGATTTACTGAATCGATTTAGATGAAATTTGGTTTAAAAGGCAGTTTGAGACCCTGGGAAGGACATAAAACACTTTTTATCCCGGAAATAATCCTTGAAGGGGGCGAAAATGGGGATGAAAGTTTGTATGAGGAATCAACCTAGACTTGGTGAGTCGCTATATATATATATCACTAACTTTAAAAGTGCAATAACTGATAAAATAAATAATAACTGATAAGATAAAAAATGAAAAAAAAATCTATTTGCGTCAAAACTAGGAACGAACGAAGCCTTTATATTTAAAAGTAAGTTACTATAATTGAAAATAATAGGAATATTACACAAATAACACAGTTACAGTACGACGTTAACTAAATAATGTACCAAACTACTGTCGCGTGTTTTCCTGTCTGTCATTACGATAAAATTGGCGTCGTTTGTCCTTTAAATAATTACATTCGCCTTACAACTTGTTGCTTTACTTTTCAGTTTATCTAGAATCCAGATAACTACTTCAATCAGGGAAAAATTATAAAATGCAACAACTTGTTATAATGCTACAATAATACAATCCTAAAGAGGATATCGTAAAATTTTGCAAGTCTATAAACTAGCGAGGTAAACTCGCTTTGTGCATAACAGTATATATATGTATACAGCCTATGACATATGTGTCACTCCAGGTCATTCAAACATACTAAATCTTCTACAAACCGTGCAGTCGCATCAACGTGATGAAATCCCAAACATAAACACACATACAAACTCTTAAATTTATATTAGTAATGTGATTTCAAGACAGGGAAATATAAATTATAGGTTATTTTTAATAACAATTCATAAAAAGTAGGTATTTATTATTACAATAATAATTATTTTATCGTTTATTTCGTTATTCTTCCATATTATTTCTAATTTATTTACATTACTTGCATTTTATTTGCCTTTTTCAACGTAATTAATGTCTACGATAAATAAATGAATTCAAGTCTTCTAATCCATCTATACAGATAAATAAGTATTACTTTGAGATGCATTTATCATATAAATAAGTCCTCCGTAAGTACGTCGAAACAGACTACGCTATTATTATATACATACATAATACATACATATATTCTATTAAGTTTAAAGCCAGAAGCCCTGTCACTAGTTATAAATTTCGCAACATCGCATTTTTATATTACGAGTAACTTCTCTAAATGGCAGTACTATCCACTATTATTAAAATTAAAGTAAATTTTAATGTAACAAAAAACGATATTTTCACCTCAAAATTTTTAATAAATATTTATTTTCATAATATTAAAAAATATCTTCGGCAATATAACCATTTTACAAAATCTTTACTTAACTATATTTAACTTGGACTTTGTCACACAAAATAAATAAAACGCATTATTGATCAATTTAATTCCATTTTGTTCAGAATTCTCAAAAATGATGATTTATCAGTAAAATAAAGTCATTATAATACATTACATTCAATAGTATATTCAATACTAGCATCAGCGCCCGCGTTCAGATGACTAAAAACCAAATTCTTAGGTTTTACTTACATTAGTATACTTAATACTCTTACAATGCAGTTTTTGTATTTTTTCTCAGAAATGATATATTTTAACACGGTAAAAAGTATCCTATATGTTGACCCGGATTACCAGCTATCATGATACCAAATGTCATGATACCAAATGTCATCGAAATCTGTCCAGTGGTTTTCTAGTGATGCGGTAACAGACAGACAGACAAAATTTCTAAAAACTATAGATTCGGCCTCTGTATCGATAATAATGTCTATTTCAATAAGATTTTCCAAAAAATATTTAATGTACCTACAGATTCGGTTTAGTTAGAATTTTATTATTATGTATAGATAGATGTACCTGCTATCGCAGCTCTTTTACGTTATTGGCTGATCATTAATCAATTGCCAACAAGTATCATAACGTGTCAAAATGTCGATCGACCATCTCTAAATGATAACTGATATAATTTTGTGATAGAAGAGTCTCTTTGATCGTAGTAATAAAATATATTTTTTTATCGATATGTGTGTACGTACCTTATAACATAATAATATAGGTATACTAAAATAACATAATAATATGTAAACTTTTCCGTAGATGTACATAGTATTTCATTCTCATATAATGACTTATTTTACATGAAAGTGTATTTTTTTTGCAATGTACGTTAGAAGAGACACAGAGTTACATTTTGATAAAATGTATTTACACGATTATAGCTCATATTCAATGTATGTTAGTACATACGACTACATATAAGATATTTAGAAAGAAACAGAAGAGATTTTTTTCCTCTACTTTCTTATTTTAGAAGACGCGTCTGGTACTTATTAGCATGCTTGCATAAAGTTTTCTTTTTGTGTTTATTGTGTGTTTTGTTAAAAATAAGAATAAATATGTACTACTTCAAGTCAAAAGCTTCGTGAAAGTCAAAATTTACTTTATTATTCAAATACTTTTACAAGCACTTTTGGGACTTAATTTAAAAGTAAGTTAAATATCATCATAATATTATCAATATATGGACTAGAATAATGAAGAATTCCTTTAATTATATGGTGATATCTCAATCCTAAATTCTAACATCAAACAGCGTTAATCGTTTTGTTCGTAAAATTTTGTTCTTTAAAAAAAAGAATAGAATAAGAATAAACGAGGACCAACCTGGAAAGTGGCAACAGCGGCATCATCCCGCAGTCGCGACAGCTGGAAGGCGTTGGGCAGGGATGCTTCTGCGCGCAAGTGCAAGTGTCTTAGGGGTAGTCGGGCGGCCGAGCGACGGGGCAGAGTGCCGTCCCGCCACGCGAGCAGACACCCCCCGCGAACAGCTGCCCGCACCCACGCCCAGGACTGATCGTCGTCATTGTAATACTGACGGAGGATGCCTGGTGACAAAATTCACTATTATTACACGTTAAACAAAGCACATTGAAAATATTTCAAATGAGATGTACCTATATTCATATTTTAAATTTAAAAGTAACTGTATGTCTGTTTGTTATCTTTTCACGCTTAATCATAATTGCATCATTGAGCGAATATAGGCTCAAATCTCCCCTTCCCTTAAAAATCCCTTAAAAATATTAATATAAGCGTAATAGTAAGTTGCTACAAAAGTATTATTTTTTTATACGATTTTTTGAGTAACTAAAAATAATTTAAAAAATTACCAAGACATTTCTAAATAGTGCCGTTGATAACCTTTATGGACGTTATTTATTTCTTAAAATCAACGTATACGAAATTTACATAAATGATTTAGGTACTTTCATATAATATACCTACTTCTAATGTTTTCTTTTATAGTATGACGAGGTTTATTTACTTATAATATTAATATTATACATACATATGTATGTTTGTGACATACATAAATATTATATTATATTATACTAAGTACCTATTTCATTTTAAGATAAACGTAAACCCACTTTCTTACTAAATACATAATATGAGCCTTCAGCCTAGGTACTAATGTTAAAATTATTTTAATAAAATGTCAGCAATTTTTGAGGCAAGTAATTCAATTTGCCCTCTCTAGAAGTCTAGACATACAAACAACAAAATCAAATAAATCTCGTTTGACGAAAACATTTAAGTTTTTGTGTATACAATGTAGAATACTAAACACAAATAGTATTATGTAAGTCAACAAATAACTAATAAGTAAACGAATGACGCAGCAAGTGTCATTTCTTAACCTAGTTAGGACCTTGAATGGTCAACTTCGATAAATGCCTTTTAGATTGAATTCTAAAACGCGCGAACCGCACACTGACCCAATTCGTTAAGTGACCAACTGTAACGATACAATAGACTGATATAATTCACAAATTGTTACATTTTTCAAGAAATTATTCAATTCAATTTTGCAATGAAAGATGCATTTTAGATAGAAAAAACGTTGAGTGCATATCTTATGTACACACGTAAGAAGTACTACTTCTTTGGCGTATGTCACAACTCTCCGTTTGTAAAAGGAATGCAGCTAACTTCATCATGTCGCTTTTTGGCTGTCGGTGTGCGCGCGCATCTTAAAAATTTTACTCAAATATTTTTTTTCAAATGTGTCAAAAGAAGTATAACTTCAAAAATTATTTGAATTTGGTTTTTAAGTACTATTATAACGCTGAATGGTTTCGTTTATTTTTTAGCTTGTAGGAACGAGGTATCTCTTAAGCAAACAGACTCAATACAATTAATTATTAGAATGTTAATGCTATTTAAAACTACGTTAGACCTAAGAAAATTTAATATAAAAGCGAGTTAATAAAAATACGCGATCGCAGCCGCAGGAAAAAGCTAGTTATACTAAATTATAACTTTTGCAGTTAAAAGTATGTATTTGTTTCTAACTTAATTACCAAAGCAGAATCTTTGTTATTTTCTCACGCTGCGACAAATAGTGATAATTATGTATATCTATACATATAATAAAATTGTAACTAAGCCGAATCTGTACATTAAATATTTTTTGGAAAATCTTATTGAAATAAACATTATTATCGATACTGAGGCCGAATCTATAGTTTTTAGAATTTTTGTCTGTCCGTCTGTCTGTCTGTTACCGCATCACAGAAAAACCACTGAAGGGACTTTGATGAAATTTGGTATGGTGATAGCTGGATATCCGGGTCAACATATAGGATACTTTTTACACTGGGAAAATATCTCATTTCTAAGAACGAATACGAAAACTGCAGTGCAAGAGTATACTATATGTAAAACCTAAGAATTTGGTTTTTGGTCATCTGAACGCGGGGGAGCCCCGGGGGCAATGCTAGTATATTATATACATAGTTGTATAGAAAGAAGTGACTTGGGTAGTTACTATTAAATATATTTTAATCTTTTATACGTAATTCCAGTTTCCATTCTATTCAGTCTCATCAAACATTGTCTGTTACTTGTTAGAGATATTTTTATTTTTATGGCAATTTGAATGCCTTACGTTTTCTTTTGGATAACACCTGTACCTATGTTATGTCAATTTATTGTATGCGCAGTAAAGAATAAAATATATAAACAAAATAAAATCGTGAGGAACAGAGGATGTCTGAGAGAACCTAGCAAGTTTTCAAAAGACATGTGAAGCCAGCGTGGTGGACCATGGCCTGATACCCAAAAAATGGGTGGAAAAAATATTTGTTGGGAATTTATAAAAATATAAATTTAAAAAAAAAACACGAGTACTTAGCATTAACTTCGACAGGCGAGACCATATCGATTTTATTACTAAGTATTGATAAAACATCGAGACAATATTGCGTGTTTTGTGATAAGGCACGCGATCCAATAACAGAAAATGTTTCGGCTAATTTGATTTACATTTTACGATTGGATGCAATAAATTATTTGTTGTATTATCTATAGATATTTTTATGCTATACATTTTGAGGGGAATTGCCATAATGGCCACGCTCAGCAGGCAGGGCGATCATAGAGTGTGGTCAGAGGACGTTGGTGAGTATCCTCCGGTAATTTTGCCCTACAGTGTATCTCAAAAACCTTTCTAATTGTAGCTTCCTTTACCGCAAAATGAAGGTTAATAACCCTCGACTAAAAACGGGTGGTGCTAATCTACACCCGACACCATATCGATAACACTTTATAGTATATTTTATACTCATAAATATTATTTATTAAAAGATATTTAGCTACATGGTCCATCCTTTAAATTTCAATAATTTTAGCGTTAACTGAATTTGGTGTATATGTATATAAGTGGGTACTAGGCAGTGCTAGTATGTATGTATATAATATGTCTTTGTTTGCTCTCTTTATAAAATACCTTTAAAAATAGGTATAAAAGTGTCATGCAATAAGATCGTTCGTGAAAAAAGAATGAATGAAAGAGAACATGACATTTTGGACAAATAAAAAAAATAAAAACTTTTTAACAAAAAAATAAAAACCGACTTCAAACAAAAGCACTGCTTTATATGGCCTGGCATCGATTTCGGAAATATTTGATTAGGTATGTATTTAATAGGTAGGCTTTAATTACATAGCCAAAGCACACCGACTTCGAATATATTTGATTAGGTATGTATAGTAAATGAAAACTACCAATCAGTTATTTTTTACTTTTTAGTGCTTTTGTTTGAAGTCGGTTTTTATTTTTTTGTTAAAAAGTTTTTATTTTTCCCTTTTTGGTGTAGACAGTAGTAGCAAAGTAAGAATTCTAACGTATTAGGCTTGTCAAATCAAACAAAACAAGCCCAAACTCAAAGTATCTACTATTAGCCGTTGAAGAGTTCCACCTATCCACCTTCTGGCCTTACCATCAGATCAGGTCAACAATACCGAACCACTGTACTATCAACGGAAATAGAAACACTTGCAAAGTTTCAAGTCAATATGACAATTATAAGTAGGTTAAATTCATCATTAGCTATTTTTGCACCCTTAGGGGTGGTATTTTTTTTTGAAATTTAAATGGGACCAATCTGGAAGTATACACTTTCAAACAACACAAAAATTGTTTAAATCGGTTAATAAATGACGGAGTTCTGAGGTAACAAACATAAAAAAAAAACATACAGTCGAATTGAGAACCTCCTCCTTTTTGAAGTCGGTTGAAAAGTAGGACTGTACGTAAATGTTTAATTACGCTTAGGGACACCAACGAAAGAATAATTATGTAAAATATAACCTCAAACTATAGATAACTTAAGAATCCTATAGGTTATTTTGTTGTGTATGTAAAATTTATTTATAATGCAACTATGTAGGAATATAAATTATGCCAATATTTTTACTTTATTAATCGTAAATTTTTTTTGTGTATAATATAGTTTTACAAACAACAAAACCAAAAATATAATTTTATATTAATATTTAATAGTATTAGTAAGAATTTCAAATATTTATTAAACATTTTGAATATTATATTAGTAACTTAAAATTAAATTCGTAATCCTCGAATGGAATTTAATCAATTTTCTCACGTATAAGACCTTGCGACAATCCGCAATACTTGTATTATGACTGTAAGCCTGCTTACAGGATATCCCTGTGATACCAATTAGCAATTAACAGATTTGCTATTATTATTACAAAAATAATTTAGTATTAATATATTTGTATTCAGCCCTTCTTAACGTCCCACTGCTGGGCACGGGCCTTCCTTCAATACGAGGGGATCAGGTCATAGTCCACCACGCTGGCCAAGTGTGGGTTGGCGGACTTCATATGCCTTTTGAGAACTTGCTAGGTTATCTCAGACATGCAGGTTTCCTTACAATGCTTTCCTTCACCATAAGACAAGAAGTAATCAAGTTAGAAATGATTCGCACATGAAAATATCAAAGGTGCGAGTCTCGAAATATGAACCCGCTAAACTCGGTTTCCCAAGCGAGCGCCTTACCACTGGGCTACCACTGCCAATAATTTAAAATTGATAAATTTATATTAATTAATACTTTTACTATTTTATTTTAAAAAAATTATTAATTATTTTATTGTCCTTATAATAATACCAATAATAAAATAATTTAATCTACAGAGATGGCATTTTGTTTTATTACGAGAATAATTACTGAATCTTAACATTTTAAAGAGTTTTTTCTTATCATTACATATTTATTCTTTTAACACTCATTCAATAATTACAGGTAAACGATTAAGCGGGATATTCAAAAATACTGCAGGGAAAATAATGTTAACGAACGTGAAGTTAAAATGACAATAATTTTTCAATTACGATAATTATATTTATTAATTGTTATTTATTTTTGTATATATGAATTCAATATTTAAATTTCATACACACAGCTTGTACATTATACAATTATGTTAAAAAATAGCAGTTTTTTGACGTTAATTAGCAGCAAATATTTTAGATTAGCATTGCCCGCGGCTCCGCCCGCGTTCAGATGACCAAAAACCAAATTCTTAGGTTTTACATATTAGTATACTCTTACATTGCAGTTTTTGTATTTTTTCTCTTAAATGAGACACTTTCTCTCGGTAAAAAGTATCCTATATGTTGACCTGGATAACCAGCTATCAATCACCATACCAAATTTCATCAAAATTCTTCCAGTAGTTTTCTTGTGATGCGGTAACAGACAGACAGACGAAAATTATAAAAACTATCTATAGATTCGGCCTCTGTATCGATAATAATGTTTATTTCAATAAGATTTTCCAAAAAATGTCTAATGTACAGATTCGGCTTAGTTACAATTGTATTATAAGTATGTATAGAAGAAGATTATTATTAATTATTATTATTTTTTTTTATTTTTTTATTTATAGTATTTTTTAATTTATAGTATTTTGTAAATTATTATTATTTAATTTATAGTATATATAAATTCAATATTTAAATTCTATACAATAAAAATAGCTGTTTTTCGACGTTAATTAGCAGCAAATATTTTAGATAACATAATATTTATTTAGATCAACTCACTTTGTGAAATGAACCTTAAAAATGTTAAAGGTCGCCCTCACAAAGCAGCTGCTCTGATAATGTTATAAACAATTGCATTGATAAATAATTCACTGGAATGAGTCAATGAGTCTTATTTCGTAACTAATTGTCGTAGATATTTGGCAAAGTATACTTTATCAAATGTTTTTGTTTTATAAATTAACAATAATATCGACATGACTTTAATTTATAAAGGAGATATATCTATACATATAATAAAATAGTAACTAAGCCGAATCTGTGCAATAAATATTTTTTGGAAAATCATATTGAAATAAACATTAATATCGATACAGAGGCCGAATCTATAGTTTTTAGAATTTTTGTCTGTCTGTCTGTTACCGCATCACAGAAAAACCACTGGAGGAATTTTGATGAAATTTGGTACGGTGATAGCTGGTTATCTGGGTCAACATATAGGATACTTTTTACCGCGAGAAAATGTCTCATTTCTGAGAAAAAATACAAAAACTGCAATGTAAGAGTATACTAATATGCAAAACCTAAGAATTTGGTTATTAATCATCTGAACGAAAGCAGAGCCGCGGGGAAAGCTAGTATTTGACGGCACGTTTGACTCAGTTTGTAGTGACCCTACTTGCCCACTCACATGTCACACATGTCCCACTGGGGGCATTCATTTCTGTGATGAGCACGAATATTTGTACTCCAGTCATGGGTATCTATATTTATAATATATATGCATTTAACGTTATATATGTGTAGTGAACCAACTATCTGCAATCCATAAGACAAGTCTCGTAGCTTACTTATTGGAGGTTAAAGCTGAGCTTTAACAAAACTTAGTAACGACAGTGTTTAAAAATTCTATAATATGAAAAAGTATGTAGTAAGGTAGTGTGTAGACATGTGTTGAAACCGACACAGCTAGAATTTTATAATTATATACAAAAGGAAACTTTAAGAAATGACAAGACGAGATGCAATCAGTCAAATAAAACAATGGTGTACTGTCTACCAGATGTTAAGTCATCCCATTTGCTTTCCGCCCCATTGATGACAGATGTTCTATATAAAGGGATATCGTGTGGTACATGCAATTGTTAAATAGGTATTTATTCAATTGTAACGTGCTTACGATAGACATATTTTTGAGCTTAAGATTAAGTTAGACGTAAATATGTAGGGATTTTTTTGTTTTGAAATTGTTATATAATACGTAAATATGTAACTGGTAATAGTTTTAACGATTTACAACGTTTTCAATTTGACTGTTTGAACGAAATTTATCTACCCTCTAATAGTTAACTATTGCAGTAATTGATATTATAAATAATTAAAAAATACTGATCGGTCAAAACAACTTCTGTTTTTGGCCATTCATAAGGTTAAGAGGTCAATGAACTTATGAAATTGTAATATACCTATACATACTTTAATTTACACTGATAACCCAATAGGAATTATTTGTGTGTAATTTTTGTGTTAACGTAATAAATTAACTCGTGTATAAGATTCCTAATATTTTGATTATAATACCCACATTTTTTGCAAGAAATAAGTATTTCACAAACGAATCTATAATTAAATTAAATATTGCAGACAAAGCACATGTTCATATATTAATTGCCTATTTTAATGTACAATACACGATCACGTGGAATAGTGGCAATATAAGATCTTGGCGTACCTGATATCCTGAGATTAGGATCAGCCGGAGTAGGTACAGGACCTGGTGTCAATTCAGGTCGAAGTTTCCGCAAGCCGGCCACCACCCGCGGCGCCGGCGACTGCTCCCCCACAAGCATCGCCTCACAACAACATTTCAATAATAAACACTGCACTTAACACCAAAACATCACTTTGTGCATCAAAAAACCATATAAGTATTAATATTATTGACAAATTAAATGAACTGTCAAATCGCTTTTAAATTTCGAATGTGTTCGTTAAAATTCGCGCGTAATTCATTTTGTTATCTGTGCTTGAGTGACACCAACCAGCCAGTTTGCCGGCATGTCATTGAATAAATGAAGTTGTTTCGCCCCACTACTATATTACTACGGCTATGTGAGTACGGGTGTAGTGATTAATAGAAAGATTATGTACAGCGCCATCTTGTGTCGACAGGATGTTAAGTAATAGTTGTAACGAAATCTTTCTACATATTATATGCAACTAAATATGAATGTGAAAAAATATAACGCTTAGATATTATTTAATATACGCTCATTAGAGATGTAATAAAATTTAATTAATACTTTCTTAGATTTACGAATATTTGACATTTTAAATAAAACTACCTTTTCGGGTTTTTTTTTCGCGGATTTACTTTGATTTTTTAATCTCTCCATATGATTGCTGATAAAGGTTCCCGACCGAAAAGATAGTTTTATTTAAAATTATTTAAAAGTTCTACAAAATGAGCATTTTGAATTGCACATTATACATTTTTGATATATAATTAATAAAGTTCATTTTATACAAATCGTGCATGTTTTTGTTCTATATTTAGTAATTTTTGCCATTTTATACTTCAGACTTTATTTCATTTATCTATTTTATATCAGACTGTCATCTATTAGTGACTAGAAGTTTTATATGATCAACATTTCATTTAATATTAACCGTGGTTTTGATAGATGGCGCTGTAAGTAAAAGTATTTTTTTTTTTTACTTACAGCATATTTACTTTTGTTGTTCTACACAAGATGGCGTTGATCTTGAATGCAACTCATTGCTCTATCTAGTGACAATTTTCGCAAGCATTTTATGTATTTCTGAATTTCTCCAAAAGTAAAAATAGATGTCGCCACCAGTATTCATAAAGCTACCAAAAAGCATCTAGTTGAAAGTGCTACAGTAAGTAACCTATGCTATATTTTAGGATAAGTAATAATAGTAATTAGTTTGAAATAAATTTGATTGTATAATTTTTTAATTCAATATCTAAATTAAAATATTTTTTTGTACATACATACATATACGAGTACGATATATCAAAATATTTTATTTATCATGTATTTATTTTATTTATTAATATAGATACTTGTTATTTTTACTACTGATTTCTTATCGATTCCTGATTTTCCTTATAGGTGAAAGACAAAATTAAAAATAAAATTCAATGATAAAAGTGTTTTAAATTTTAATGTTTTAAAAAATGAAGTAGAATCACACAACTAATATAATCGCACTTAAATCTAAATATAAACACAACAGTATGATATCAAATAGAAATGATTCCGTACATAAGGAAGACATGGAGATCAGATACATGGCACATAACTACTTGAAAATTTTAATATTAATAATTAACTTAACTTATACATTTTATAAGGCACTAATAAGATATAATAAGTCCTTAATCTACAATATAACAAATTAAAACAAATTAAAGCTTTATCGTGGAAGAGTTAGATCACAATAATAAAATGACATAAACTTGTCATCTTATATTGGTTTCATCGCAATTATAGTCGTATTAATTGCGTGGGAACAACTGGTTTTGTAAATTCTAAACATTTTCATTACGGTTATTAACCATAAAAACAGTCTATTATTACCATGGACGCCACTTATTTGCATCAATCTCATGGTCCGTAGGAGGTTCCTCTCGGTCTTTTTTTTCGGCATAAAATGCATCGAGTTGCCGTCTTGCTTCTTCTTGCTTTTTGTACTCTTGATACTCGATTAGTTTTCTTTTCTTTTTAGGTGGTAAGTTGCTGTAATCCATTGGAATCTCGCGTTGTTCAGGAACATTTACGCTAATTTCAACTTTCTTTTCGACTTTAGGTAATTCTTGTTTTCTAGGACTTTTGTTTTCGATATGATTATTTGGAGATAATGGTAGAGCAGCTGAAGATTTCGCCGGTGAACGAACTTTTCGTAGGTCTAAGGTGTCATTACTGCTTGGGTAACTTTGTGTAGGATAATGATATGAGGCATCATTTCTGTATCCTTCGTCTCGTATATATCTAGGTTCTATCGGTGCTTCAGTGTTTACGTTTACTTCATAGTGATTGTTTTCATTTCCACGTTTATCCATGATATGTTGTCGGATTTTTTGCAAAATAACATCTTTGGCTTCCGCTGGCACTTTGTTGAAATAAGTTCCATTTCGATGCCCATTCATTGATCCATGTTCGGAATTATGGTGTGAGACAAGTGTGTCAACTGTAGTCAGAAGACCGGTCATAGGCCCGCTTTGTTTACTATTGGATCTTACGAACGACCACTGTTTGGAAGCACTTTCGGCTGAGTAAACTGAATCTTCGGCATCAGATGAAGATCTTTCATGGTCGCTGTAATAGTGATGTCTGTCAGAGGCGACGGAAGACGGTGAGATGGGAGGAGAAAAAGTGGGTCTGTCCGGCACTTGAATCGTCAAAGGTTGAACAGTTATCATTCTTGATAAATGTCCTATTAAATTTTGGCTCACTTTAGAATCTAAGTCTGGCACGGACATAATGAATCTGCATGCTTCCGCGGCGCATTGCCCAAACCCGGCTTGAAACTTCTTAGCTTCCAAAACCGGATCCTTAGGTCTATGCAACTTTGTAAGATGATTAACTGTTAATTCAAGGATATCTGCCTTCTCCAACTTGCTCAGGTTGTCGTCATCGATCTGGGAACAAAAATAAAATAGTATATTGTAGGGCAGGTGCAATTCAAGTCTCTCACGTTACGGGAGTTAAGCGTCACATCAATATAACTGTACTAGTAAGCTTCTGTTTATTTTTAGTCTTCAAGTTTTGCATTCATTAAGGACAATAACAAACAAAAAGGCGACCGGTCTGATACGAAATTTAAAATGGTATATAAATTCATAAAGAAGAAGACAAAAAAACTTCTGTTTATTCTAACAGACTACTAACAATAGGTATATAATTTATTATTATAAATATTTTTGTTACTGTATTTAAATTGTTGTTATTTAACTATTAAAAAAATAATTTATTGCTTTGAAAACTTTAAGCTCAGATGAAAATATAATAATATGAATTATTCATTCAATAATAACTCACCTCTAAAGCGCCGACCATTAGATCTTTTAATTCGTCCAGGCACCGGTTAATGCGAGCGCGCCGTTTCCTTTCAAGTAGCGGCTTAGTTATTTTCTTGTATTTGGCTGTCTTAGACAGCGGTGCAGGATCCGATGACATTTTACAAAACCTGCCAAACAAAATTATCTATTTAAATATCTCATCCGAAGATATTATCACATTAAACGATAATCGAAAACTTTTAATATTTATTTAATAAGGATAAACTAAATAACACCTTAATTATAAAACGCAATATTTTATTTATAACCTTGAAAATACGATCACTGGTTTGAATTTTTTTAACTTTATTTTGGAGGAGCACTCGCACGTGCGTCGCCGCCCGCGGGTCGGATTGTACTGCCTGAAAAAAGCCTTCGTTCCCCCCTCGCTTCCCGTGCCTTCCCGTCCCTTCCCTCATTCATAGCGAGCGCTAGCACGTGTGGCCCTGGGATCAACTTACCAACATGCGTGAAATACTTTCCCAGGGGCAGATAAAATGATTTCTATTATGAAATGCCTTTTAACTTTTTTATATATCTCTCAGTTTTGGAATACCAATATGCATTGTTTACATTTTAAAGTGACAAATGTGACCTCTTTAAGGTATCGTTGTTTGTAATACTGGAATAAATTGATTATTTATCTGTTTCGTATTTCTTAAGAACAATATGGATAAGACATAAACGTAAAAATTACAAATTATGTGAGATATTTACGTGTATTATAAATATTTTATTAAAAAAGTTAAGAGTGTGCTTTATGGCAATTTTTACCTAGGCATCGTTATTTATCTCAGAATGTGTGAAAGTTACCACTTTGATATTTAGGGAAATGATACTTGAGACTTTTGTCTTGAATTGCCAAATTTACAAAACAAGATTGATGAAAATTTTCTCTATAATATCTATATTTTTTTGAAAAATACCAGTTTTGCACACATATTGCCATTTATCTTAGAAATGGCTCACTATTTTTGTGGGGCTTTTGTTTTTTCAGGAATCCTGGAAATATTATTTAGTTACTGAATATCATTTTTCGATTGGTTGATTATAATTTATAGTGAATTAAAAACTTTTGGCGCTCACATACGTTGAGCATCTATCGCTTTATAGTTTATACTTCTCACTCATTATAGAACATTATCTTGTCATCTCGCTCCTCCGAAACCAAATCGTAGCGGTCTCATGCCGCACTCTTAAAGACAATAACAATAGTGACCCTAGTGTTTACGTCCACGTGGTTTATTATTTGAACGGGACAACCGTAACCACGCGCTTATTTCTTTTATGGTTTCTCTTTGACATTGTTTTACATTCGGCTTACTTTGAACATTAATGTCATAGTAATAAATTAGTGAATACATTACCGAAGTGATAATGATCGTTTAAGTAATAAACACATAAAAAATATAACTGTGTTTCGTGTCAATTGTTTCAAAATAGCGCTATTTTTCTTAAGGTACCGCCATACCATTTTTACTTTGTCGGAACGTCAGGGACACAAAAAGTTTTAGGCAATAAATGAAGCGGGCCCCAAATGGGACACAACTCAAATTGCCTTTTTCTACTCAGGTAGAATTTGGCGCGAGTAATCTTTTGAAATTCTCAAATAGTTTATCTTTGTCATTTTCGACCCTCACTAAATAATAAAATTATCGTTTGAGGCCTGTTCAATTATAGCCTGAACCTGTTTCATTAAAAAATAAAAAATAAATAAAACGTCATTTTACAGATGTTTAACCTTATGTACCCGCCATTATTTAAAAAAAAATATTCTACAAGTTATTCTAAGGTACCTATCTATTAAAATAATTATTATCTATTAATTTAATTAGGTATAAAACTAAGTTTTTAATTTTAAACTCGCTACTTAATTTTAAATTTTGTACCACATGATTGTTTTTTATAAATAGCTTGTTCTAACTCAAATTTGAATAAAAATTAAGTATAGATTGTCTAACTATCGTTCTGAATAATGCACAAGTCAAATATTACTCAGCATAGCATAGGTTACAAGGAAAAATTGTAAAACTCCTTAAGACAATGTCATTACATATCTCTGTGGCTTCCTGTGCGATATTTTAAAGTCATTGAGAATTGAGATATTAAGTTACAGAAGCAAAAACTTCATAACAAGTACCTTCCTATAAAAAACGAGTAATTAACTAAGAACTCTTTATCAATATTTAAATAATTTGGCATTTCCGCGATTAATTTTATATGAATATAAAAAAATTATTAATTCAGTTTTAAAATATTCATTTTAGAATAATTATGTAATTTAATTACCTACTAGATTTTATTGACCCACAGATATCTTCCTACCACCAGTTCGGAACAAAAATGCCTCAATAGAAAAAAAATATATTTTTCATATATATAAACCTATTAGCAATGTTTGTTAGTTCGTATCGCTTGTTCGTATTCGCTTGTATGGGTCACATTATTATGACCTGATTCTTCATCTAGGATTGGACGAAGCAACTTTTTAATCTTCGATCGATATCTACTCGTATATGATAAAATAAAAATATTAAATATCCTTCCTTCTGGTTACATCTTGCAAATATTACCTTCAGTTTATTTCTCAATAAATACATATATTTCAATATAAATATTTTTATTTTATTTTTCCCATTTTAAATATTATCATGTCGCTACGAATTTGATGATGTTCTGCATAAGCTATAAGCCGAAATTATAATTTTAAATCACCGATTTGAATCATACTTTAATGCAAATTCTACATCTAAAATCAAACATTTCTATTTATAGTCGCTTTGAATGCTGCGCTGCTTTTATCGTATAAAAATAATGATGCTTTGTTGATAATTTAAATTTTTAAAATATATTCAATAATCGTAACAAAAAACGTATGTGTACTTATGTACGCATGTAAGAAATTATACTTCTTTGGCGTGAACAAAAATAGCTAAAGATTTCATCCCGTATTGTGTAAAAGGAATGCAGCTAACTTCATCAAGTCACTTTTTGGCTGTCGGTGTGCGTGCGTATCGTGAAAATTTTATTCTCAAATTTTTTTCCAAGCTAGCCACAAGAAGTATAACTTCAATAAAATCATAATATAATTTCTTATGAAGAATTAAGAATTCATTAGAGATATTTCAGGCACGAAATATTTACAGCTTTGATTCCTGAATATGACAATGACAATTTTTTTGTTACTACCAAACTGAAAAAGGTTATAAGGCATATAGGAAAACTGTACCTATGCCTTCTACAGTTTGTCTGGTGTATATAGAAGCATGTATTCTGTATATCTTGTACCTATTGTTATTTTGCTCGCATTCCCGTATTGAAAAGCAACATTATGCCTAGAGCATTTTTTACATTGCAATACATGCATTTAAAAAAAATCAAATTACTTTTTTATTGCATGTAGATTGTAGATATAAAAAATGCAGTAATAGGCGATAGTCCAGTGGTAAACACTTGCTTGGAAAACCAAGTGAAGCGCACTTCTGATTTTCTTACAGTGAAGGAGTACAACCTGAGAAAACCTGCATGCCTCGAGAACATAGCAAGTTATTAAACGATATATATAAAATCCGTCAACTCGCACTTGGCCAGCGTGGTGGACTATAGCCTGGGCCCCTTCGTACTAGTAACTTTTACAGAAAGAGATAAGTAAGTACCTGAGTAAGAGGATAAGGAAAATAGGTTGGAAAAACTGTTACCCTTTACCCTTGAATCTCATTATTATTATAATTTAAAAAACTAAATAAAACTATCTTTTCGGATTTTTGGTTCCCACCCTTTGGGTGGGCTGTCTGTAACAACTATATAATACTTTAGAGACATCGAACACCTCAGTCTCTCCCGTGACCATGATTGCTGTAAAGCATTCGAAACGTCGGGAACCAAAAATCAAAATTAATTCGCGAAAAGATCCGAAAAGATAGTTTTATTTAAAATGTCAAGTATTCGCGTGAATCTAAGAAAGTATTAAAAAACTAATATAAAAAACTATAATGTAATAAATACTTAATAGGTACCAAAAAAGACGTCACGATAATATATTTAGAATAACCTTGTTCTGAATCTCATTATATATGGACTTTTTTGCATATTAAAATTATTCATCTTTTATCTTAATCACGCATTGGTTTTATTAAATGTTAAGCAATCGATATTAAACAAGGATATCTTTAGTTTATCTCTTCAATCAATATAAATATTTATGTTGCAGATATATAACGATAAAAATAATATAAAATGTTCCATTTAAAATCAAATTGAATAGAAAAGTGCCTTGCCTATAGGTAAGGCGTGCCATTCCTACAATGACATGGGTAAATATCGATAATTTTTAGAATTTAACATCTAAATGGCTTTTCACTCAAAAAGACAAAATGGGGCTAAATATTTTCCTTAAAACATATTAATTATCGTTCAGACCAAATTGACTTTAAGATAAGTATTTTTTGTTCGAAAGAAATAATGTAACTTATTTCAGTTTTAACCGAATCCAAAAAAATATATATTTCAGAAATATCAAATTGCCACCGGAAGAAGATGTCACCGTTTTACGAAATTTAAATCTTTTAATGAATAGAAGATAATTTATATTTTAATGTGAGTAGTTGAATATACATATTACCAAAGAGTTACGTGAAGTTTAATTACACATTGTAGAAACCTATTTGTATAAATTCAATCAATATGCTTGGCCATGGACGAAAATTATTTAGAGATTTAAAAATAAAAGGTTCGGACTTGACAATTTAAATAAAAATATTTGTAAAGAAAGTTTGAAGGCATAAGTTACTTAAATATAATATTTACTTCCTAAACTAAAATATTAAAAATATTTATAGTTAAAAGATAAAAGATAACATAATGAATTTTAAATTAATACAGGAACGAGGAGCCAATCTCAAGGACACAAGCAATCTGCGCAGGAGATATTATAGTGCACAAGTGTATTCTTAAACCTACTCCGTTAGGACGATACTTCGATACGACCAGTAAGGCTTGACGTACTCTCTTCAAGGCATGGGGCTGAAACACCGCCAATTTCTCAATTCCAGACTGTTAATAAGACTTTATAAACAGAAAGACTTAATAACTAAAATTGGCTCAATCCGGGACTGGAAC